CACAGCAGTTTATTCTGCTGTCTAAACTAGCTGAAGGTACGTTTTCCAGAGGAAAAGGTGTAGAAGGGAGAAAGAGGCTTAAAAGGTCCAATTCATTAGTCCCTGTTTTCTTCATCTGAGATCTGGCACTTGAAACAATAGTTTTAGGCACATCTGTTTGAAGGCGGGAGGAAAAGAAACATTGACATACATAATATCACAATAAAACATTATTGCAATAATGAATACATCTGATTTGGAAAAAGTAGCACACTTTTATAGTTGTTTCTATTTAGTTTTATTGGAGTATATGAGAAGCTAGTATATACTCACTCCTAAAGCCACTCATGGAGAAAAAAGGGGAGAGGAGAATAGGTGCAATAGAAGAGATACACAAGAGAGATTTCAAAGCATGTGCAAATGTATTTTTCTATAAGTGCCACTGTTTTTTACGTTTTCACTGATGGAAAGGGTTGCTTAACTATTAAGGAAAATGTAGAAGCATAGATGCTTAAGCACATATAGGTTTTTAAAATAATTTTTGTTATTTTAAATTATTATCTGCAATAGTGATAACCATTTTGAGGGTCACTGACACATTTATTATTCTTTCAGTAGTTGTTAATTATAAGATTGGTAGCTACCCAGTGACAGCATACAATTCTTAAGGGATTTTTGCTGAGACAGTTGATAGTGTGTAAGCAATCAGTAACAGCACATCTACATCTGACCCATATTTTGGAATTTGATATAAATCATGTTACTAATGAGTAGTGCATGAGGCAATAACTAGTTCCATTTAAGTCTTGCAATTTACAGAAAAGCCATTTGTCCCACAGTGTATTTAATGACAGATATTCCTAGCAGCTAATTTGATAAATGATTGTCTAGCACATGAAGAGCGGGTTTTCAGAGTTCTCATATTCAGCTTGATGTGGTTCCAACAAGAACATTTTCACCTCACAGGGGAAATTAGGTCTATGTAACTGGACTGAGGTGATAAATCGAAAATATTCCTGTGTTAAAGTGTCAATCAGGTGGCCTGGGCAAGAAGCAGAGGAACAATACTTCAGTGTTTTGAAAGAGTGTAAAAGAAAGGATCTGTCTCAGCAATTTGTTTAACTCAATGCTTAAGAGAATGTTGTGCTGTTATAAAAACATGGGAGGTGACAGCTGTGAGTTACAATAGTATGCACTAGGAGAAATAAATAAATAAAAATAAGTATCCTGTCTTCATATCTGTGATATATGCTTAATCTTTGCTTGCACACACAGACATTGTGGAACCTGATAATGTTTTTAATCAAGATTTTTAATTGTCCTGAAGTACTCCAGGATAGGGAGCAGTATGCTAAAATGTGCAGTATCACCTTGGAGGAACCAGACACTGCAAAATTCTTTACAGAAATATTCAGATTTCCCTCTGTATAAGGATACACTTCCTTGTTCCTGTGAAGACTGGCAGCTTAATAAGTAATGTTAAGTACACTAAAGAAATAGTTCTATTTAAAGTAAGGATAGTTATTAAAAAAAATGGTGGTGAAGCTGTTCAGCTTTCTCCTGATTTGGTCATCTGTAGTGATGGCTTCTGGAGATAGAGGTTCACAAAGTGTCTACCTTAACCAGCTATTTTAAGCCTTCAGAATATCTGTGATTTATTTGCCTGTTTAAAGAAATGTGCTGGATATTTATGAGTAAGATTTAAGTTCCCATGTTTCAATAGCTGATTTGCATAAAATTACACAGGAAAAATGTACACTATAAGGTGCATTTATTCCTTATTTTCTGAATGACCAGGTATGACTGATGAAGCTACAGATAAGTTACAGCATTTTTACCATGTAGCAGCCTGAACAACCTTTAAGAATCAGTAATACTGCCAGTGAGTGTCTATCATAGCTATTAAAAGCTGCAACCATCATAACTATTAAAAGCTGAGACCAATGTAATACATCCTAGGGCTAGTCTCTGAGTGCGGTGTTCTCCCAGATATAAAGCTTGGGCTATCATAGGCAAGCTTTGGAGGTGAGGTGTAGGGGGTCACGTAACATAATTAAAAGAAGAACCAAAATTGTTATCCCCACATCAAGCATGGCTTGTTCTCTTTCTGTCCAGCTATCTGCCAGCACATGCAGCTTCCCTTCCTGAAAACGCACGGGTGTACTCACTGTCCTGAAACCACAGCCATGAACGCTTTTCTGTGTGTGTGGATTTCTTTGCTTTTTTGCTCAGGGGGCTTTTCTTTGAGGGGAAGGAGGACAGTACTGTGACTTGTTAAGTGCAAGGCAGGAGTTGGAGGGTGAAGTAAAATCCTGTTTTCTTAGTATATAGCAATAAAAGAAAAATCAAGGAGTTTGAAGTAGCTGGCGTAAGTTAAAATCAGAGATTTCTTATTTCCTTTGTATACAAGAACTTTGTATACATCAGAAGTCTCCCAGACCAAGAGGAGTTCTGGGTCCTGATGATTCTCTGTGTATGCAGACTGCAGATTTGCACTTGCACAAAACTTTATTTCCAGTACCTTCAGGGATTCAAGCATATATATTCTGAAGAGTTAAAAAACTTTCCTTATGATAGTTATCCAGACATCTAGGAATACAGGGCCAGATCTTCAGTTTGTGTAAATCACTGTGACCCTATAGACTTGTGAGGAGTTACACAGATTTATGCATGCTGGACATCTTGTCTTCCCCCAATTTTTCCTTTCAGAGCAGTGCTTTTACTTTGTGTCATCATTTTTTGTAAGAAAAACCCCAGAGATGTAAGCAAGCACATTTCTATGTATTTTCTACTTATGAGTGAAGTAAACTTAATATCCTATTCAATCACTTAAAAATCTGGATTGCCAATGAGAAAAGCCCTTCAGTTTAGTTTCGGAAAAAGACATGCTCTGCTGCAGCAGCTCTGTTCTGCTGTATATTGTGTGTGTGGTTTTGGCTGTGACATGAATGAGAGACAAGGAAAGAACATAAAAGTTAAAGTAGTTTCATATGGAGCACAATGCCCTCAATGTGTCAGTGGTAGCTTTTTCACTACTGCCTCAATAAATATAGAAGTCTTTAATGGCTTCTTACAACCATTCAGTCCAGCTGGCTTTATGATTTGTATACCCTTCTTCTCTGTGCTGGGTTAAGATTTACTTAGAAATATTCTCTGAGCTTCTTCACACTGTGGTCGTTTCCCTGCAGTGTGCGGTCACACAGAAACAAATGCACCGAGCTAATTGTCCTTTTATTTATCCTTTGTACACTGGAAGTCATTTAAAAGTCAGTTCATTTATGCCAGTGTAAAACTGGATAATACAGTTGTAAGGCTAAGTGCCGTTCAGGCTAGTTGCGTAGTAGGAAATAAGATCTAATAGGACCCTTTCTGTTTGAGTAGTTTCTTTTCATAGTCCCAGCTCTGCTTTCATTCACTCAAGGGGAGATTTTCATTAACTTCAGTGAGTGTGAGAACACGGCAATCTCCACATTCTTTGTGGTCTCAGCTGTATCTCTGCATAAACATAAAAGAAAGAAATATAAGTAAGGTTTATGACCAGATCTTCAGCTTCTGGAAATCAGTACATCTCTTTCCATTAGTGCTTAGAGTCTGGTTTTGAATCTTGTGATTCTGGTGGGATTATTTAGGAGAACCTCTAGGATATGAGTCAGTGTGTTCTGTATTCTACAGGTGAATATGCTAAATTTTAAAATTATTCCAGTCTTCTTAGGAAGCAAAGTCCATCCAGTGAGCCAATGCTGAGAAATCCTTGGCATTGACATACATTGTCCAGATGAAATTGAACAGTGACGTTTTTCTCATAGGAAAGCAAGATACATAGCTTTGGATAACTTGAGCCCAGTTTCCAGGAGAGTATTAAGATTAAGATCAAGCTAGTCTGATCTTCTGCCTGCCAGAAGTATAGATTTGCTACACTGTCAAAATGAATGAGCAGTACTTTTCCAGATTTGCACATAATAAACTGCTTGGTAGGTATACTTGCCATCCGTATCCTTCCATGTTTAAAGAAGTCCTCAGTCCAATTCTACTTGTCGAAATTTACAGTCCAGGAAGAAAACATGTATTGTGTTAAGTGCAAAAGGCAAACATCTCATCAAAGCACCATACATCTTAGCTGATTAATAACTATGGTCAAACGACCAGGGAAATTCCACACAAAGCCGAACTCCATGATGGCAGATGGTTTTGCTGATCGGGGTAACCTGCAGACTGCCCTCAGGAGTGCTGTCTTCCAACGTGCATGGTCTTGAGAATATTCTTTGAGGAAAAGTGCTAAGCATATTGGTATAAGCTGCCAGTGCAACATGGTGATTGCTGCAGGTTCTCTTGTCAGTGTTCAGGCCTTACAAGATCCTTGCAACGTATTGCCAGCTGTATGCAGCCCCGCCAGATGATACTGTACTCCTCACTGTAACAGCCAGATTGTCACCAGCCTAATCTCATTCATGACCAGCTATTTATATAAGTGATCATGTGGCATCAGGGCTAGTCAAGTGAATGACCATTTATCTACGTCTGTAAGGGATTCACAATCTGGCTGCATGCTGATTGAAGCATAAAACGTGAAAAGAGATATCTAGAGAACACAAGTTTGATATTCTGTGATAAAAACTGCAAGTGTGCAGATTGCCGTGAAGGCTATGATGGCAGCTGGAGCTGGGGGAGTCACAGGAGATGAACCTTCTGCCTGCTCACCAGCATCAGATTCCAGGGCAGTGTTGGGGTGCAAGTGGCTTACACTGTTGGCATACCCCCCAGAGGGTAGTTTTCTGCTGGCGGTGGACTTGCCCCTCGTGTTACGTAAGTAGAACTTAAAAGGTATCTGTCATATAAATATAAATCGCTGTGGTTCCTGTCAAGGCAACTGGTAACTAAAGAGTTACTGCTTGTTTCTGCCGCTTCTCACTGGCACTCAGCTGAGAGCAGATTTTTGCTGCTCTGCATTTGTAGCTACAAACCTGTGAAATGTCTCTGGCGGTGGATCTGAAGCTTCTTTTCTTTTCCTTTGTTATCTGCAGGTCCAACAGATCTCAGTATGAAGAGGCAGTTAGCAACCAGCTCTGGATCCTCCAGTAGTTCAAGCTCTAGACCCCAGCTGAGTCCAACTGAAATAAATGCAGTGAGGCAGCTTGTGGCAGGGTATCGAGAATCAGCCGCATTTTTATTGCGTTCTGCAGATGAACTGGAAAACCTTATTTTGCAGCAGAACTGAGTCATGTGACCTTCACACTGGCCTGGTCTTATCTCAGAGTTTCCACTAATGACATTTTGATTTCCCAGAGCACACACTTCAGTTACTGCACAGTCTTTTAGGAGAGTTAATTACCATAATGCCACACTGTTCTTGATCCATAAAGTGATGTGTTAAGGTGCTTCAAGTGAACTTCGACCTCTGGTATTTCCGAGGTACTTTACTGTGTCCAGCCTATTGCTTTTGTTTTAGTGTGTCAGCATAAATATCGAAAAAGTGGCTAGAAATTAACTCATTCTAACAAGTGGAGGAAACAGAAGATGCTGTGATGGCTTAAAAAAAAAAATGGTTCAAGATCCAAGTGCAATATTAGTGGAATGTGATACTGACTCATTGGACTTAAAGCTGCAGTATATGGCAAAACGTTGCCAAATGTCCTGTTGCTACAGGGCACAATTGCAATTAAAAGGATCTTGTATTTTAAAAAAATGTAATTTTTATAAAAAACGAAACAAAAGATTTTTGTTTTCATTCAAGATTTTTCATTTTTACTTTGGTAAACTTTTTCACTGGTCCTGAAAATGTTTTGAGGAGCTATTTTAAGTCCCCCCTTCCTCTCTTGAACCCCTGACTGTGCCCTTCTCCCCAACTTCATATTCTTTCTACAACAAGTAACTCTTGATGCTGGATAATTCTTCCCCCGTGTACTGTAAATTGTCATCTGTGGAATACCTTCCAAAGGAAGCATGCATTTCCTGCATTCATGCCATTCTCAACTCCATTCTGTAATATATTGCAGCTTTATTAGCAATTAATAAAGAGTTGAGGTTTTTTTAAAAAAGACATATCATTGAGAAAAAAAAAGATAAATTGATTTCTTACAGTGAGCTCATCTAACTCCATGATCACTGCTGCTGTCCTATACAAGTCCCTCTAGTTGTGATTGGACGTAGATGATGAATGTTAAGAGGTTGCAAGTGACAATCTGAAAATTTGCACTCTTGTGTGTATTTATTTTTTTTTCCTTAATTTAAACAAAATTCTTACCAAGGAATGTCATTGACACTTCTGGTATGATTTGTATAATTCCCAGGCCTAGCTAAAACCTGTACAAAACTGTAAATGGATGCAGCTGCAACTATAATAAAACTCTTCTCTCCCCTTCCCCACTCTTCCCAACCCCTCTATTTCTTATTTTATAATATTGATTACACATTAATGGTGTTTTCTTTGTGCACTACGGCAGGCTTATTTTTAAGTATATAGAAAAAAGTACTTTAGTTTATGCTTACTGTACTATCTGTTCTGTTGTTTAGCTTTTGTTGAATAACAAGTTTCTTGTGCATTCCTAAATTTGCCTTATTTCATGTACAAAATTTTATGTAATTCTGTTTTTGACAATGAGTTTAAGGCATCAGTGATATTTTATATCTACTTGTTACATATAGTTTTCCAAGTAATGACTGTGATTGTGACCAAGTAATGTGCACTTTTTCTTGTAACTGTGGACATTGCTATGCTTTTTTTTCTCTAGTGTTTCTAGAATTACTGTTGCTTACAGTTATGTAAAAGAAAAAGAACTTTTGTGATACTGTTGGTGAATATTAATGTGAAAAAGCCTATGAAATATGAGTATTTTGGAGGTACATAGATACACAAACATCTCTAAGTTGTGGACTGATGTTCACGTATTTAAATGAGAATTCAAAACCTGAGGGCTGGAATCATTTCCTCTGTTTTGTTTGGGTAAATAAACAGATTTCTGTGTTTAAATACATGATTGTGAAACATTATAACATTTAAACTGAGACAGCATTTAAAGCTATAAATATCATTGTCTTTAGACAGGAAAAAGGGCCTTCCAGTCCAATTCATGCAGACACCCAAAGCTCATTTCTCAAAATTATTGAGTAAATCCAGTAGACTGATCTAGCTGGAGCTTTGTATTAATGAAGAAATTCCTCAGTAAGAGCAGAAGCGGGTGGCCCATAAATCATGAGATCTGAGTCACTAGCATTTTATCATTTTAAGTTGGCTGGAGGCAACACCATTTTACCACTCTACATTTATTCTTAAAAATCTATTGGATGTCTTTTTAAAGGCACCTATTCTTGGATATGAGAATATTGTTGCAAATTCTTAATAGTTGTTACCCATCACTTGAGAGGTGCATTTGCTCCGAACATCTCACCATGCTTGTGAAAACCTATAGCTTGTCTCTGCCATAGATGTGCGGTTGCCTCAGCTTTTGTCTCACCAGGCATTCAGAAGCCTGTTAGGAGCCAAGTGCCTGTTTCCTCCCTTCCGCTTTCAAATATCTACAGCTTCTTCTGTCTGTTGCATGCCAGGAGGGGATGAAGCAGGTACCTTGTGCCAGGTCACTATCTTGGCCTCATCCAAAGAAAAGTTCTGGCATACATCTTCCACAAAGAAGAAGAGTGGCAACTATGCCTAGGTTTCAAAGTTCCATTAGTCCTGTTTTGCAGGGCAGTGTGCCTCAAACTGCCAACTAAGCAGTAACCAGCAGTTTTTCTAAGAGGCTGTTTTCCAGCCAGGAATGCTTTGCAGCTGGACAGCCTCACTGCTTTTCGGCTGTCTTGCTAAATCCAGGTAAGGACAAGAGGCTAGAGGATGAGGAATTAAGAGATTTACTTCGGTGTTCTACCCTCTGACTCTTCTTTCCTCTCCCCCAATTACTCCTTCTCCTGAGGGAGAAGTAGGAAAGTTGGGGGGTCACCATATGATCTTCAAGGCCTATGGCTAGTTTCCCCTTTGTTCTGCTCCACCCCCCCACCTACTTGGTAGTTCTCCAAGTATGTCTTCTGCAGCACACACATCCTCTCCTTCTGGCTGCCTTCTCTGAAATATTTAGGGCCTTCAATTCTAGGAGCAGTTGATGTCCTTCTCTAAAGGCTCATACAGATACTTAGCTTTCAGTCCTGAAGTGGTTTATCTGTGCCAAATTCCAGCATACTGATGGGTTTTTTACTCTATAGCTGTTTCCACCTCTAAGTACAGGGTTTATTCATCTCTTCTTTGGAACAATCATAGATTCAACTGTAGTTTTAACTTCCTCTTCTTCTAGGAGGGTGCTGAAATTTGGACTCATCCTGTGAAGGAATGACCATAAATCTCAATCCACTTTTGTGTGTGCAAATCTAGATCCAAGCATCGCAATTAAATTTGCCCTCTTGGATCCTGTATAGGTCTCAGAGCCACTTACTCTTTGCCTGCTTTGAACCTCCTAAGGAAGTAAAGGCACAGGTGTAGAAGATCTTGCTCCAGCTATAGACTGAGTCAGGTGTCCAGAAGTAACTTCAGAGTTATTTCTTTCTCTTATCCACATCTTCTGTAATCAATGCCTGATCACCTCAGCCTAAATATTGCTGTTAAGATAAGGCCAGTCCCTTCCAGCATGGGCATGTCCCCTGAGTATGACTGCTTAAGGCTGCCTTCAGAAAAGTGTTATCCTTATATCCAATATCTTTATTAAACTAGTACTTCAAGTTGATGGATGTCTCACTACAGAACCTCATCAGTGCAGCCTGGAAGGTGCTGGTCTTCCTTGAGACAACCTCACATCTTCCCAGCTATCCTGGAGTTTCCTTGGGAATGGTCCTGTAAGACCTTCAGTCTTCAGGGTGTTGCTGGAAAGGGAGGGGTGGTGGGAGAATGTCATATAATGTCCCTGAATTAAGTACCAAACTTGACCATGGTCTCAGTGAGTTGAGTCTCTTACATCCACACTGGGAAGACAAGCCATTTTTCCATTCTTCTCTCTTCTCTCTCTGATTTCCAGGGTAGTTTTCATTGATAGGGCAAGCAGCTGTGGGTAATAGCCTTAAATGCAACCTTAGGCTGTGGAATTGGACAATCCAACCAGTTTAGCAACTAACCAGATTTGTTTACTGCTTTTGATGCCTGGAAACTGGAATCGGAACACATGAAAAGAGATCTGGAGTCAAAAGTTTTTATCCAGATTGACACCTTGCTGCCTGTCATCGAAGGAGACCACCACCATATCAGCCATGATGAGTATCAAAAGCTACAGAAAGACAATGCATAGGTAAGCAAATATTTGACAGTTCAAAACATGCCCATCCTGTATGGAGAATGAATTTTCTGAATGACAAAAATCAGATGAACATGTAGTCAACCATAGCTATAAAACTAATTGGAAAACAGTTTTACTGAAGGGATTGGATATTCTTGCTGTAATGACCTGAGTGTCTGCTGAATACAGTTTTAAGTGGAGGTAAGTTTTGTGGGTAAAACTCCATTGAAATAAGGAACAATTTCATTTCTTTCAAGTTCCTAGCACTGTGTTAAAATCTTCCCATAAATTTGTTAAGAAGCCTCTGAATTTGGCTTTGAGTGACTTGTGAGACATTCATAAGGAAGGCATATGTTCTGCTATATAAAGAAAAGCAGATCTCAGTAGATCCTGGAGTCAGGATCTAGCCCTGACTCCAGCCACTACTGAAGAACAGTTACCAGCACATGAAAAAGAATTGTGAAATAATGGCAGAAATCAAGCAATGACACACAGATGACTGCTGGAGTAAGTATGTAAGAATATAAAATGTCTGTACTGGACAAGACCAATTGTTCACAGCATTGTATTCCATCTCTGATAACAAACCAGATAAAGATGTAGCAGATATAGCAGACCAGAAGAATAGAGCAAGCATATAGCAATGCTCTCTAAGTGCACATCCATGGCCTACGACAACTTGAGGCTGCAGTGGGTTGTCTCTGGCTGGCACATAAGCCCCCACCCTGTCACTCGCTTACTCCCCCCAGCGGCACAGGGAGAGAATCAGAAGGGCAAAAGTGAGGAAAAAAAAGTGGGTTAAGTTTAGTAAGTGAAGAATGAAAAAAGAAAAAGTGATGCAAAGGCAATCACTCACCACCTCCCACCAGCAGACTGATGCCCAGCCAGTCCCTGAGCAATGGCTGCTTTGAGCACACACCCCACCCCAATTCCCCCCACATTTTATTGCCAAGAATGACATCATACG